ACATGCTGTTCTTTGCTCTCTCTGTGTGCCTGCTCTAATCCCAGTTCTGTGGACAGGCAGCTTCTTCGTCACCGTTGCTGTTCCCTTGTGACGGCTGTTACCTGTGCCCCGCACAGTCCCCACTTCTACCTCAGGATGTCCTTCCAGCTCCTGTTGCCTCAGCTGAATGTGTCATTTTCTCCCTGGGTCCAAACTAGACTTCCTGGACACAGTCCAATGGGAACCACTAACCCTTTTACACTAGACCATGCTGGGTCCCTGCCTAGCCTATGGCTGGCCAGATACCGGGTCAAGTGTTTGCCCCTGTTCCAAACACCTGTGGAAAGGTGATAGGTTATGGAGTACCCTTTGGTGTACCCCTTATATACGGGTTGAGAGAGGGGAGGCCTGGCAACCTAGAAATGGACTGTGGGCATGGTGAGACCACCTGCATTTTCAGAATGCTATCCTAACCATTTGGCTGTCGGTCACACACCCCATTGTGTGCTGCTATATGGAACTATTTAAATGTTTATTATTTAAATATTTGTTATCAGCCAGGTGTGGTGGCTCACACTTGTAATCCCAGCACTTTGGGAGGCCGAAATGAGTGGAGCATTTGAGGTCAGGAGTTTGAAACCAGCTCAGCCAACATGGTGAAACCCCGTCTCTACTAAAAATACAAAAATTACTGGGCATGGAGACATATGCCTGTAATCCCAGGGAGGCTGAGGCAGGAGAATTGCTTGAACCTAGGAGGTGGAGGTTGCAGTGAGCCAAGATCATGCCACTGCACTCCAGCCTGGGTGACAGAGTGAGACTCCGTCTCAAAAGAAAAAGAAGTTTGTTATCTACATTTTTCTATGTTTGCTTCTTATCTCTTCAGCTAGATCATCATTATTATTATCGGCTATTCCACAGACAGAGCAGGCTACCCCACACGTGGGGTAGCCCAAGTAGATGATAACATTTCCTAACAATAGAGATGACGGCACTAAATTCTAATAAAATGATAACAATAAATAATAGTTACTGAGCATTTACCATGTAACTGCTTTACAGAACAATTAAAAACACCTCTGTGGAAAGCCTCACCTATGATATCCCCACTTCACCGATGAGGAAGTTGAGGTCACAACTCACAACCAGTCAGAGGGCTGGTGATTTGCACCCAACTGGTTTGATTCCAGAATCTGTGCTCTTAGCACGTGGCTTCTTCTGCAGTTGGTGCTGACTACATTTTTATTGTTACCGTGAATACCGTGTTGAAAAGGAAACTACCCTCTCTCTTTATGTCAGGTTAGTCCTCACTGGCCAATTTGTTCTATGAACACTTATTTTTGGCCAAAAGCCTCCCTTTCACAGTCAGGAAACTAATGCCAGAGAAATATTAACAGAGCAAAAGACAATCCATTTTTGAACCAAAAACTCCCTCTTGGCTTGAAGCAAGCTCATCAGCCAGATGCTCCGCCCCCTCCCATGTTTTCCTGGCACGGCTTTGCAGAAAGCTGGATCCAGGGGCCGTGTGCAAGGTGGCTTCCGCAGGCGCAAGCAATTGCCAGATAGGCGTGCAGTCTGAAGCCCCAGCCAGCAAATCATTTCAGCCACTTTCACCTTCCCTGCATGCCAAGTTCAGGGGGCTGAGGTGGGGCATCTTAGCCTGGATTCCCCTTGACTAGTGTTGAGGTTTCCCGGAGCTAGGTGCCGGGCTAGTCCCACCCCAGCCGTCAAACCATTAATTAACCGTGGTCGCACTGGGTCCCCAGGGACACTCCCTGCCAGAGAGAGCTGCACCTCCCTTTCCCCAACCTCTCTGCCAAGGCTGGAAAATCAGCAGGCTGTTTGGCTGTTTAGGGGCTGTGGATGCTTCCAACTGAGGCAGAAGGGCAGGTCTGCCCGTTTTACAGATGGAGAGGTGAAGGCAGACAACTCATTTAGGGGCACGCAGTTCTGGATGGTTGTCACGAGGAGCACTGAGGTTACCTCCTCTAACAGGTTTCTTGCTCTAAGCTTTCTCTCCCTCTCTGCCTCTATTCCCAGCACCCCAGTCCCTGTAGGCCAGGCTTTCTGTTTATCACCGAGACCCCCTTCACCTCACTCTCCCTCGTTTGCAAAGCCCTCCCATGCCCTGGGAGCCTTCTGAATCCTGACTTGAGCATAAAGAAATTGGAGGAAAAGGGAAGAACTGTGGGTGAGAGGGGGATGGAAGAGGAAGCAGAGATTCAGCTGACAGTGCCTAATGGTGGAAGGCATGTCTCAGGCCCGGAAAAGCCACACCGTGGCCTCTGTTTTTCTGTGTAGCAGTGACCCTGCCAGGGAGATGGGGTGTGGGGAACCCACAGGAAAGCTTTCTGATGAAAGGGCTGGGGGAGGACTTCCAAAGGAGAGAGGGAGAAAGTTGCCAACTCAGTCTCTTCCCCCTTTTCTTACCGCCACCTGTTTGTCTACTGATCTCCTTAGCTGCTCTTCTGTCATTTCCTGGACAGATCAACATTTTCTGAACAGGCACAAGATATTAACTAGGAAGCTCAGATCTGGAAGAGCAGAAACCTTAGACTCACCCTGTCCAAAACTATTTTCTTTTTTTGAGATAAGAGTCTCACTCTGTTGCCCAGGCTGGAGTGCAGTGGCACCATCATAGCTCATGGCAGCCTCAGACTCCTGGACTCAAGAGATCTTCCTTCCTCCACCTCCCACGTGGCTGGAACTACAAGCACACAACACCATGCCCAGCTAATTTTTAAATTTTTTGTAGAGATGGGGTCTTACTACGTTATCCAGGCTCAATACTATCTTTTTATAGTTGAGGAAACTAAGGCCCAGCAAGAAGTGTATCTTGACCAAGATCACACAGCTAATGAGTGACAAAGCTGAGATGGAAAAATGTGTTCTTTGTACTATATGGGGCTTATTCATCCACACATGCAAGATGTCCCCATGGAGAGCATGCAGGCCAGTCTCCCAACACAGTGACTGAGAAACTGGACCACTTCTTACCTCTTTAAGCCTGCCCAGGGGGTCTCAACTTGTCCTGCCACGGATTCTACTTCACTCTGTCACTGTGGGAGTGGAAGACACTCACAAAGCGGGTCATTCTGTGGAGGCTATACCCAGAGAGGCAGCCACGGCCCTCCCCATGACACACAGCCCAGATGCTCTCTGCAGCCCTTGGCCTGTTTGCCAGGCTGGGTTCTGCTTGTGCCCTTGGATGAGCAATGCCCAGGACCGACAAAGCCTGTCCCGTGCACACTCGGCCACAGTGGCTGGTGTTGGTGCCTCCTGCCCTGCAGGCTGGGCACCTCGAAGATTCCAAAACCTTACCACTACCAACAGCTCCTCATCTGGCAGCTGGGTGGACATCCAGAAGTGACAGAATGGAAGCTCTAGCCCTCTCTGGGTACCAGTCAGTGTCCAGCACTGTTAATTCTGGGTCTATGAGGAGAGCGCTGGTGGTGTGGGGATGAGAATGAGGGGTAGGGCAGCAGGCTTGTCATCAAACTGCCTTAGAGAAAGGCACCCTGAGTGTCCCAGGAAGAGGCTATTAATAGGCCTCCCTGCACGCACTCAGCGGTCCTGGGCTGGGCTGTGTGAGGATGAGTCAGCAGATGGAAGGGCTGATGGTGAGCTGGGGAAGCATAGCCGCCTCTCGCAGGGGAAGTGGAGGCTGTGAGACTGCACTTTTGAGCAACCCTGGTCTCGTGCCACCCCACCCTCTTCTGAGTATATAATCTGTTTAGCTGGTATATTACCAGTGTTGTAAATTCCAATTCTGAAGCCAGAATTCTTTTTTTTTTAAGAGACACATTTCACTCTGTTGCCCAGGCTGGAATGCAATGGTGCAATCCTGGCTCACTGCAGCATCGACCTTCTGGGCTCAAGCAATCCTCCCACCTCAGCCTCCCAAATAGCTGGGACTACAGGCACGTGCGGCTATGCCCGGCTAATTTCGAAGCCAGAATTTAAAGCAGCAAAAAAATCCAGAAAATTCTTTCCCCCACTTTCGTCCCCTCTCTTACTTCCTCTTCATTGACAAAGCTGGGCACAGGGAAGAGGGCTGCATCCCCGGCAATGTGGAGGGCGGCTCAGCCACTAGGAATGCCCCTCTCCACAACTTCCCAGCCACTGACTCACTCCGGGACGAGCTCCCTGTGTAGATAAACACATGTTGAGCGCCAGCCCTGTGACAGGCGGTTTCACACATATTATCTCATCCCCATAATGACCTCAGGAGATGGATATATTGATATCTCGCTTTCACAGATGAAGAATCAAAGCTGAGAGTGATTAAGCTATTTGTCCAAGGAGCTGTAGCCACTGTCATTTATCGAGTGTGTAACAGATGCTAGAGGCTTGAGTGCAGTTTCTTTTCTTTTCTTTTTTTTTTTTGTGAAAGAGAGGCTCACTCTGTTGCCCAGGCTGGAGTGCAATGGCGTGATCTCGGCTCACTGCAACCTACGCCTCCCAGGTTCAAGTGATTCTCCTGCCTCAGCCTTCTGAGTAGCCAGGAATACAGGTGCCTACCACCACATCCAGCTAATTTTTTGTATTTTTAATAGAGAAGGGGTTTCACCATGTTGGCCAGGCTGGTTTCGAACTCCTGACCTCAGGTGATCCACCCACCTCAGCCTTCCAAAGTGCTGGGATTATAGGCATGAGCCACTGCTCCTGGCCTCACAGTTTCTTTAAGGAAATTAAAGGTCCTCACTTTACAGGTGAGGAAACTGAGGCTCGGAGGGGCAGGGCAGCCTGGAAAGTGGCCGCACTGTGCCTGGGTCTGCCTGCCTCCCAAGCCCACGCCACCTCCAGGCCACAGGGCAGCCAGGATTCTAGCCGCTTCGCTGCCTCTAAGTCCACCACACCCACTGCCTTCCTGACGAAGGAAGGCCTTGTGTGCACTGACTGAACACCTATCAGTCTATGGTACCCGTCATTATCAGCACCAGCAGACTGACCTCAGGTCAGCCCTTCCTATCTCGTAATGACACCTGTGCACCTCCATCCTTTTGAAAGGAGAGAGCCTAGTGAGCTGATTCCAAGGTCAGGAGAGTGGAAGTTAAAAGAGCCTAAAGGGGACACTTTCCTGCCATCAATCCCATGGCCGTGTGAGCAGAGCTTCCTGTCAGCCCGAGGTTTGACTGAAGTGGCCTTAAAGGTAACAGATGTAACATCTACCTGCTAATTTCTATTACATCACAAAAGTTCTGTGGTTTGTGGTTGGTAAATTTAGATACTGGAATATTGAACTCCCAGGAAAGGAATATATAGAGGGAATTGTGAAGAGACTGAAAAGGAGTCTCCAGTGGGTATTTTAACTTTTGGTTTTGTTTTGTTTTTGAGATGTCTCGCTCTGTCTCCCAGGCTAGAGTATGGTGGCACAATGTCAGCTCACTGCAACCTCCACCCTCCGGGTTCAAGCAAGTCTCGTGTCTCAGCCTCCCGAGCAGCTAGGATTATAGGCACCTGCCACCATGCCTGGCTAATTTTTTTTTTTTTTAGTAGAAACAGGGTTTTGCCATGTTGGCAAGGCTGGTCTCAAACTCCTGGCCTCAAGTGATCCACCTGCCTCGGCCTCCCAAAGTGCCGGGATTACAGGCGTGAGCCACTGTGCCCAGGCATAACTTTTGGTTTCTAAGATGCTACAAGTGGTGGAGACAATGGTGAGTCAAGGGTGTTTTCACACATCCTTGAAAAGGTGAGATGAGTCCTTCTTCAGTTGGTTTCCCCAAGTGCCATTGGCTGGGGAAATTAACAATAGCCATTTGGTTGAGTGCAGTGGCTCACATCTGTAATCCCAGCACTTCGGGAGGCTTGAGGTCAGGAGTTTGACACCAGCCTGAGCAACATAGTGAGACCCTGTCTCTATAGAAAAAAAATTAAAATGAAATCAGTAGCCCTTCCCCTTCCCGTCTATAGTTTGCTTTAATTTTTTTCATAGCCCTTTTCTCTAACCCATGTTGCATTATATATGTATATATGTGTATAGATATATACCTATTTATTTACTTATTTTCTATCTCCTCACTCCCCTATAAGAATGTAAGTTCCACAAGAACAAGGACTGTGTCTCTTATTTACCACAGTTTCCCAGGGGCTATAAACATAAGAAGGCTTCAGTAGAGACATGCTGAATGAATGAGTGAAGGAGTAGATGCACCCTGAAGGGTGGTTTAACCCTCTATAAATATCTTCCATGTCAGTTTCCCTGGGGAGTGGGTCCCCTGAGCCTGCACTCCCCTCTCAGCAGCAGCCAGAAGAGAGTCTCCTTGGGTTCTGCTCTCTGGGGTAGGGGAAAGAGGCTGGTGCTTGTGATGAGCCTTCCGCTGGGATCTACCAAGCCCTGAGCAGAGGATGGAGCAGACACAATTCCCACCCCATCCCAAGGGAATCCCCATTCTTGCAAGTTTCCTGACAGGAATGGGGCAGGTCTGCAGCCAGTTGTAGAGACCAGGAAAACTCTGGAAAGGGCCGCCCTCAGTGATTATAGGTCCTTCAGCTGCCCACCCAGCGTAAGCCCCTGCAGCCCTGCTTCGTTCACCAGTTTTCAGAGCGACAGCTAAGCTGCACGTACACAGGAGGCAGATGCCAGCCCTGTTGTCTCTGTTCCCAGGCCCCAGGATGACAAGACACTTGGTGTGTTCAGATGAAAGGGCTCTCCTTGCAAAGGGCAGGATTGCCAATCCCACTGAGCTCCCTGGAATGGGAAGCTGGACTCTCTGAACTCGTGATTACCACTGTTGTGGAGATTAAAGACTTCCTGTCGGAGAGAGCAGTCCTCCCGAGCCAAATAACACTAAGGGCTGGCCGGCGGCCATCTTGTGGGGCCTCCTTGGCAGCCAGAGCTGGAGGGACTTGGCTCTCTCATCGAGGGCTAACCTGCTTGAGGAAAAATCATGGTGTCTGGGCCAAAAACAGTCCCTGAGGGAGTCCTGTGCTGAGGCCTGGGCACTCTCTTGGCTTCCTCAGCCCCAGCCTGACCCACCTTGGCAAAAGCAGCTACCATGGCACATCCAGTGGGAGCAGGCCAAGGTCCCCATGCACTTGCCTCTCCCGAGGATTTCTGATGGGTGTGGCAAGGAGGAAGAAGGGCACGCCGGGGAAGCCAGCTCATGGGAGCCTCGGGGATGAGGGAAGGCCTCTGCTTCCTTATTTCCCCACCAAGGGCCTGAACCAGTCACACCCTGGGAGGCTGGTGCATGTGATGAGTCCCCACTGTTGAGACCTATAAAGTCCTGGCAGAGGATGGAGGAGAGAGAGTTCCCCTCACACTGTGCCCCAACCTGGCTAAAGATCAAAAGCATCTGGAACTCTTAGTGAAAAAGCAGATCTCAGGCCAGGAGCAAGGGCCCACACCCTATAATCCCAACACTTTGGGAGGCAAGGCAGGAAGATCGCTTAAGACCAGGAGTTTGAGACCAGTCTAGGTGACAAAGTGAGACCTTATCTCTATAAAAAATTTAAAAATTAGCCAGGCATGGTGGTGTCTGTGGTCCTAGCTACACAAGATGCTGAGGCAGGAGGATTGCTTGAGCCCAGATGCTGAGGCTGCAGTGAGCTGTGTTTGCACCATTGCACTCCAGCCTGGGTGATGACAGAGGAAGACCCTGTCTCAAAAAAACAAACAACAACAACAAAAAATCAACCCTCAGGCCATACCCTGTGAGTTCTGGCTCACTCTATCTCAGGCAGGTTCTAAAAATCTATTTTTTAAAGAAGATAATCCTGGTGCACCGGCTCTGAGTGCCTGTGAACAGGGAAAGTAGGATGGGGCACGGCGAGGGTCAGCAAACAGGATTCTGGCCTCTGTTCTTTCATATGACTTCAGGAAAGTCACTTTGCTTCTCTGGGCCTCAATATCCTGATCAATGTGTTCCATCCTCAGAGTGTGCTCAAAGGGATGTGTCACCGTGCATGGCTGTGGTCCCAAAGAATGCTCTGATCTCTAGGCCACCCTTAGCTGGGAGGAGGACCCTTTAGGAGGCCCTGATAATAACAGTGACAGCCAGCATCACTGATGCACAGCCCGGCTCTGAGCCCAGTGCTTGATCTGCATTGTCTCATTTTGTCTTCACAAATAACCTTAGGAGGCCACACTTGCCCATAGAACTTTCTGAAATAATGGAAATATTCTGTCCACACCGCCCAAAAACAGTGTAGCAAGCTATGTGTGGCTGTTGAGCATCTGAAATGTGGCTAGAGCAACTAAGAAAATGCATTTTAAATTTCATCTAATTTTACTTGAATTTCAAAGCTACACATGGCTGGGCACAGAGGCTCACATCTGTAATCCCAGCACTTTGGCAGGCAAAGGCAGGCAGATTACCTGAGGTCAGGAGTTCAAGACCAGCCTGGCCAATGTGGTGAAACCCTGTCTCTACTGAAAATACAAAAATTAGCCAGGCATGGTGACAGGCACCTGTAATCCCAGCTACTCGGGAGGCTGAGGCAGGAGAATCACTTGAACCCGGGAGGCGGAGGTTGCAGTGAGCTGAGATGACGCCATTGCTCTCCAGTCTGGGTGACAGGAGTGAAACTCCGGCTCATAAATAAATAAATAAATAAATAGCCACACATAGCCAGTGGCTACCATATTGACCAGCATGACTCCAAGATGTGATCTAGTATTATTTTCATATTAAGAACAAGAGAACAGGATTAGAGAGGTGAAATGATGTGGTAGAACTGGGATTTGAATCTGGATCTGAGGGACTCCAGGAGGTCTCCTCCTAATCACTGCAGAGTTCCACCAAGTCTGGAGGGCAGGACTCCAGTCCCAGCCCTGTGTCTAAGAAGTAGGTTGACACTTCTCTCAGTTGGGGGTACTGTCCAAGGTCCTTCTAGCTTGGACACCCCAGGCCAGTATATTTGGGGTGAGGCATGGGGAGAATAAGAGGGTTGCAGTTGCCTGGTGTCTAGAGCCTCCCAGACACAGAGGCATCCATGTCTGCCCTCCAGGCTCCTCCTGCCACAGTTCTCACAAGTCACTGGTCTTCTCCATGTCCCAAATGTTAGATGCTTCTAAAGACGGGCTACTCCTCATAACACATCTACGATGTAAATAGTATCATAGTCATTGTACAGTTGCAGAAACTGAGCTTCAGAGCAATGAAGTAAATTGTCTAATTTCCCACAGCACAGTGAGTGGTAGATCCCGGACTTAAACTCTGATCTGTGTGATCCCAGAGAGTGAGCCCTTCACCTCTGCTCTGTGTGGTCAGAGGGTTGAGCTGAGGCCCCAGGAACCCACTCAGCTGAAAGTCTGCTTTGTTACCAAGACACACTCATCCCCACCAGGATCCTGTCACCCTTCCTGAACCCAAAAGGGATTCTGTTCTCCTGCCAAAGGCCTGGCTTCTGGACCCACCTAGGCCCATGAAGATTGGTGTACAGGAGCCTCTAGCTGGAAAACCAAAGAGGAGGAAGAAGCTGCTGGGGGTTCTGTGGGCCAGCCCTTCCCACCCTCAGAGCCCAGACATACCCCATGTGGGGCTGAGAGGAAGCAGAGGCCTCAGTGGCCGGGGCAGTGGGCTTGATTCCTGAGGGGGCCACACCGTGCTCTCTGCTTCAAGGCAACCCCTGCCCACAGCCCAGTGTCCCTGTTGGAGCCCGACAGGGACTCAAAGTCCTGACAAAACTCAAAGGCTAATGTCTCCTGCATCTGGAGAGGCCAAAGCTGCCCTTGCCAGCCACACTGACACATGCACCATTCAGACTGGCGGCTTGGGGCCTGGGATCAGCGCCACAGAGTCCCACAGGGTCACACAGGCAGTGATTGCACGGCGTGCTTGTGTGTACTTGCAGGCTCATGCACATTCATGGGATGGAAGTCAGAGGCAGGAGGCAAAGGCAGGAAGCCATCAGCCCTTTTAGCCACGAAGGATCCACTCTAGGCAATTGGGTAAAGAGCTCCAGAATCCTGGACCTGCCAGAAGCAATCTCTGCATCCCACCAACAACGGCTCCAGGAGAGCACCAGGATCAACTGCAAGGCAGGCTGGGGAACCTCCTTACACACTCACACTCACCGTCGGCAAGCCCACCCACACCCATCCATACTCATCAACACAGTCTCACCTCCCACACACTCCCGCACATAGGTCATGCACACACTGCAGACACCGATACGTGCGTTCACACATGCCCCATGCTCACATGTGTTTTCATGCATTCACACATACACACTCACACACACACACATACCCACACACACACATTCACATCCCCCACACTGGCTCACACACATGGCACACATACACATTCACAGCCACTCACACAGACTCAGCAGAGGTCTGAGCCAGGGAGTGGCGCCGAGACAAGACCTTGTCCATTTATAGTTTCTTCTAGCGTGGAGGAAGTAGGGCTCTGCCCCCTCCCATCCTCTGAGATGTTCAAGACAAGGGATGTGGAGATATACCCAGGAGGGCTTCCCTGCCCCAGCAGTGAGGTGCCCAGCATTGGCGGGCTGGCCTGGGCTGCCCCCAGAAAGGTCTCATCAGCTGCCTTTCTCCCACTTTGTCGAGGATGCCCTGGGCCTGCACTGCTGCGCCTGCCCCTGGGGGCTCAGGCTGGACACCACCGCAGTGGCCCCTCTGGTCAGGGCGTGGAATTGCCAGGGAGGGAGAGGCGGTGCTGGGGAAGGGGAAACACGACTTCTCAGGAGCTTATGAAAAGCGCATAAATGGAAAGAGTTTCTTGTTGCTGCTCTTTTCTTGTAGACAATTCTGTCTTCCCCACAAGGCCTCTGGGAGCCGTATCCCTGTGTCCCCTGTATGATCAGTCCTGCCCCACCCCAGTATTAGCCCGCAGAAGTTCTTCCAGCCTGATCAGCTAGAGACCCTGAGCCCCCAAGGGGTTTGACACAGGAAACCTAACTACCCATCTTCCTGGGGCCTCCCCAGAGCCCCCCATGAGCACAGTGTTGTAAGCTTCGGGTGAGGTTGGGGGCTCTGTCACCAGGAGCAGCAGGTGCTCCTGGGCGGGCTGTGAGGCAGCTGGGCCTCTGGGTCCTGGCATCTACCCTCCAGACCATTTATTATTTCCTTAAGCTCTTCCCAGGCAACTCATCCATCCTGGCGTGCCCAGGCCACACTTCGCTCAGGCCCTTCTGTGTTCAAGCCCAGCAGCCGTGGCCCTACAGACAGCACCCCTGTATTCTATGCTGTCCCTGGATGCTCACAGGGACACAGCCCTAGCCTCAGATCCCCCTTGTCTGGGCCCATCCTCCCATTGTTCCTGCCTGACTGTGTTCTTGCCAAGAGCTGCCCCAGGGAGCTGGTCGGGGGAGGTTCCGATAGCTTCTTCATACATCCTGGAGGGAGCCAGTTCCTCTTCTGGATTCCTGGCTATGACTTCACAGAACTCAGAGTCTACACCTCCAGCCCAGCAATAAAAGCAAATAGGCTGCAGCTTGCTCATCTATTTATATTCCTATTGTCATTTCCCTTGCAACTGTCCCCTCCATACTAAGAAAATTTCTATAACCTTCTTTGGAGAGTTTAAAAACATGGACTCTGAAGCCACACTGTCTGGGTATGAATCCTGTCTCTGCCTTTTACTCGGTTGGGTAAATTACTTAACCTCTCCGTGCTTCAGTTTTCTCATCTATAAAATGGGAATGAAAATAGTCCTTACCTCTGAGGGCCACTGTGAGGATTCAATCATTAATATGTCTTTTTTCTTTTTTTCTTTTTTTTGAGATGGAGTCTTGCTCTGTCACCCAGGCTGGAGTGCAGTGGCACGATCTCAGCTCACTGCAACTTCCACCACCCAGGTTCAAGTGATTCTCCTGCCTCAGCCTCCTGAGTAGCTGGGATTACGGGCACCTGCCACTGTGCCCGGCCAATTTCTGTATTTTTAGTAGAGACAGTGTTTCACCATCTTGGCCAGGCTGGTCTTGAACTCCTGACCTCATGATCCACCCACCTCAGTCTCCCAAAGTGCTGGGATTACAGGCGTGAGCCACTGCGCCTGGCAATCATTAATATGTCTTAAGTGTCTTACAGCCTCTGTTCTAAAAGCAAACACTAGATGAGTGACTGCTATTTTTACTTACAGACATAAAAGTAACCAGTAGAAGAATGGCAAAATATCACCAAAATAGCCAAGTGGGTGGAGGAGTGTGGTGGGGAGTGCTGGTGGTGAGCTAGGTTCCTGGTCTTCCAAGCCATGGCATTGGTGGCGCCTGTGGATGACAGAGCAATATGCACTGCTTTAGGCACACCATTTGGAGCTATGGAAGGGACCTTCCGTGGAACCAAAACCAGAAAAGATGATTCCCTCTGGAGGTGGGACTCAGGGTGCCAGAGGAAGATTTCTCATTTTAGGCCCTCTGTGCTGTTTGATTTTCTCCCATATATATAACTTGTATGCTTTAAAAATAAGTAGTCTTTTTTAAAGAAGTTGCTAACAAAGGCTGCCAGGGCCAGTTGTATGCTGGAGTGGGCTCCCATCAGCTCATGATTTGAGAATCCATGGTCCATGCTGGAAGTATTTACACCAAGGGAATCAGCAAATGCTACAAATCAGGGCTTTCTATTCAGAGACTTGGTTTCTTAGCACATCACTAGAAAAGCCAGTTATCCCTGTGGTAACTTAATCCTTGTGATATCTTCTGCTTAAAACTCCAAAGATTGGAAGGATGGTGAGTCCCTCTCGTGGTCTGTGTTCATCCTGAAACTCCACTGGACATAAAATTTCATCTTTCTGGTCTTCAGGGTGCTTCTGGTCAGCCCGAACCTCTGAGAATTCTGGCATGGCCAGTTGAGCCAATGTGTCATCCTACTTTCTGCTCCTGTCATAGTAACAGATTTGGGACACTAGGTGACATTTATTCATTTATCCACAATACTCGTATGGAGTATCTGTCACTTATCAGGTGCACTAGACCGAGGGAGCCCTAGTCCCAGTGGCAGTCCCCTAGGGCTGCCTTCTGCCTCATTGGTAGAGCAAAGGCCCTGAAAACTTCGTAGCATCTGGAAAGTGATGCTGCCTCCAGAACATGGGAATCACCTGGGCTTGTTAAACGCAGGTGGCTGGGCCCTACCCCACCTCCCACTCTCAATTTCTGGTTCAGTAGAAATCACTGGTGGGGCCAGAAAATGGCACAATTCTCACAAGTTTCCAGGTGATGGTGATGCTGGTGGTTTGGGGACTGCACTTTAAGAACTGCCATTCTAGAAATTCCAAACAGACTGATTCTTCAAGGCAGGAGAGACCAATGAGGTGAGGTTTGTATTTCTCCCCTTGAGCTAATTTACTTAATTACTGTCTCTTGGCTTAATTACTTCCCTTAGCCAGTGAAAGTGTTGGTTGAAGGCAGTTCCTTGATGTGGACTACAAACACACTTGTGAAAATGCACAAACATTTGTATTTACTCAATGGCAATTCCAGGCTTCGGCTACAATCCCTCCAGGTCTTTAGCACTGTGGTTAGGTATGTGAGGTCTGCACTCTGGAACCCTAAACTTCAGTCCCAGCCCTGCCACTTGCCAGCTGTCAGACTCTGGGCAGATCCTCCACTCTCTCTGAGCTGTCATTTCGTCAACTGTTGGCTAATAATAGTATCAACTTTACAGGATTTTTCTGGGGCATCTGCTGAAGGGGACAAGTCATGGAAAGTGCTCAGTACTCAGAACATCCCCAGCACCTGGAGGCCAGCATTAGTCTTGATAGAAGTAATGGTACTGTCGCTTCTGATTTGTGTTTCTAACTAAATATTAATAGTTGTACTAGAGGTGGTTTGGCGGAGGTGATGTTCTATTTTTAATGTGTACTCTGTCACCAGACTAATATTTGGGGCTTAGGGTGGTCGGCTTCTTCCTTCCTCTGTGTCCTCTAACCATGCTGTATTCCCAGGGGATTCTCCATCCAGTGCGTGAGACCGAAGGAAGAGAAAGAACTCGGAGAACTCAGTTATTCCAGCTCCATTGCTGCAAATGCAGAAGGAGTTAAGAATTACAGAGATGTCTGGCTCAGAAATTTCCTTTCTCTAAAATAGCTATTTCAAAAAAAAAAAGGCTGGGAGAAATTTAGTTGTATATGTGTTTGTGCATTTTTTACTGTCTACTCCCACTCATCACATATACTGTCAAAAGAGGTTTTAAAGGATATATGTTGTAAATTCTGTGTGGTCAAGGGCTGTGTCTGTGGCATATGCCACTGAATCCCCAATGTTAAGCACGTTGCCTGGCACAGGACTGCCATTCAACGTATGCTAGGTAGCTTGAATGAATACTGACCCAAGGAAAGACACAGAAGCTTGAGGAAGAAAAGAAGAAATGGTGAACACTTGAAACTGTATTTCTACAGCTGGTGATGAGGAGCTCCTGATAAAAAGAACTGAAGCAGTAGCTAAAAGCAGTGGGTGTAGGCACTTGCTGGCAGGTGGTCTGCAGTCCTGAGCTAAGTCAGGACCTCCCAGTGAAAGCCACCACAGCTGCCAATGGCCCCAGGCCCCATGGAAACACTCCTCCTTCCCGCAAATGCCGTTTCTGTCTTCGCTCTTGCTGTTTCCTGGATCTAGGATTGCCAGATTTAGCAAATCAAAATACAGAATGTCCAGTTAAAGTTAAATTTCAGATAAATAATGAACACCTTTTTAGTATAAGCATGTCTCATGCAATATTTGGAACATGTTCTAAAATTGTTTTACTGTTCCTCTGAAGCTTAAATTTAATTGGGCGATCTGTATTTCTTCTGGCGACTCTTCCTGGGCCCAGAGTACCCTCCTCAGCTTGTCCACTGGGTGAGCTTCTCATCCTTTCCTCTAATACTCCACTCCACCCCAGGCAGAACTCACCATTCTAGCCTGTGATCCACCTCGTACCCCGTCATCACACATAGATGGCCATCTCCTTCCTGTGTCCCCCACTGCGTCTCCTGCCCATGGGTAAACCTGTCACTTAACACCCCCAGGACATAGAAGGGCAAGTATTGAGAAAAGGGATGAGAAAAGTCAAACATACAGAGAGAATAAAGAGAGCAAGTCTCAGAATTTGTAGGCATGCTTCTGATGGGGTGCCCCACTAGCACTTGGTTTCCTTACATGATTCTTTGTAGATTCTCTGAATGGTGAAAAAGACGGCTTACTAAAAATCAGCAGCAACTTTCTTCCCTAGCAACTCAGGCCATCATTCAAGGTTATATCATCCCATACCTACCAGCATTCTCTACCCCACGATGATCTGAACCTCCTGAACGATTTGATTAAGCAGAATACACTCAATGGGCACAAAATAGTAGAAAGAATGAATAAAATCTAGTATTTGATAGCACAAGAGGGTGACTGTAGTCAATAAGAACTTAATTGTACATTTTAAAATAACTAAAAGTGTATAATTGGCTTGTTTATAACACAAAGGATAAACTTGAGGGGAAGGGTTCCCATCTACCCTGTGTTATTACACATGTATGCCTGGATCAAAATTTATCATATACCCCATAAATATACATATATATGTATACCAACTTTGTATCCACAGAAGTTGAAAAACAAAAATTAGGCCTGGCACACTGGCTCAAGCCTGTAATTCCAGCACTTTGGGAGGCCGAGTCAGGCGGATCACTTGAGGTCAGCAATTCAAGACCAGCCTGGCCAACATGGTAAAACTCCATCTTTACTAAAAATACAAAACTTAGCCGGGCATGGTGGCGCACGCCTGTAGCCCCAGCTACACAGGAGAATCACCTGAACCTGGGGGACAGAGGCTGCAGTGAGCTGAGATCGTCCACTGCACTCCAGCCAGGCAACCCTGTCTCAAAAAATAATAATAAAATATAAATTAAAAAAAAAAAAAAAAGAAATGCACTCAATGGAAAGAAGAAGGAGGGCCAAGGACATAAGTCTCAAGTGATTTTGTCATGAGAATTTGGGAAGTAGGGGAGTAGCTGATGGGGAGACCACGGGCTGTGCCCATTCTCACGTCTTCAGAATCCCAGAGGGAGCCATGTGGCCACAGGATACCCTTCTCAACGGGTTTCACAGGAACACTGACTGGGATGTGTTCCTGCAGAGGGCTGCAGGCGCCCTCCCCACGCTGCCTGTCTCATGAGTTCAGCGCCTCCGGAAGAACAAGGCTAGGGCATCACCACTGCAGGGACCCCGGGGCGGAGAGGCTGTCAGCTTACCTTCACAGCCCTGGAGCCACACCCTGCAGCCACAACTAACGGCCCAGAAGCCAGCGTGTGACCAAGCCGCCTTACCTGTGCACTGGGCAGCTGCTAGAGGAGCCAGCAGCCAGGCTTCCTAGCCAGAGGCCGGCCCCAGGACCATCTCAGTGCCTGGTCAACATCGGTTGCCCCCTCAGCCCTGGGCTACTGTGGAGCTGGAGGGAGTTGCCAGAAGCAACCCTAGTCAGAGACCTGACTCCAAAGCCCCTGCACACCCAGGTTCCTGTACCTCCTCAAGCCTGCCCAGCCATTGACTCTGGTCCTTCGCAGCCTGGGCTCTGTGTACCCCACCCGCACCCCAGCTGAGAATCGAGAGCAAGGAACTTCTAGACCAGGGATCTCAGCTGTCGGGGCTCAACCCCAAGGGATTGCTGGGTTTGGACCCAGTGAAGGATGTAGCCAAAGGGGGGCCCTACAGAGGCATTGGGGAGTGGGGAGGGAGTCAAAATGATCTTCCTGGCCCAGAGCCAGAGAAGTCTCATAAATGTCTGTGGGGGTGGAGCATGGCTGGAGGGCAAGGAGAGGAGAGTGGAGGGGGTGAGATAAGATGGCTGTGCGATGTAATTACATGCCAAAGTTCCCCAGCAGTGCCAAGGGTGTGAGGCTTTGCTCTTGGAGCTACTATAATTATATCTCGAATGGAAATAATAATAGTAATTTCCTGATACATGTTGCCACTAGAGGCAGGCTGTTGAAAGAGTGGGAAGAGGGAAAGAAGCACCTCTTCTTCCAGGCCAGCCTGTCATGCTCCTAGGCCCGGTCAACTCACCTTCTTTCATACTGTTTCTTCCACTACAATTGAGGAGACTTTCGGGGTGCAGGGATAGGGGTGGCAAGAGAGGAAGTTATCAACGCTGTCCTAAGCACTCGCTGGAGGATCCAGAGGCAGGAGGTAGGTTCTCTGGCCCCATCAGGAAAGGGAGCTGTGAGCTAAGCCCTTTGTGCTTTTCCTTGATCTTCCTTGGGATAGGGCTGGCTGGGTCGTGGCTACTGCCTATGAGTCCAAATCAGAGGAGGCAACTCTCGCCCATGAGCGTGAACCCCAGCCTCATCCTCTGCATCCTCTCATCCTCTCCTAACCCTAGACAGAGAGCCAGTGCCGAGAAGAGAAGCAGAGGAGGCTAAGCAGAGACAGCAGGCAGACCCTTGTCCCGAAACCTTAGTGATCGTACTTGCTCCTGGGTTGGGAGGTCGAGGTAGAGGCCAGGAAGGCTCAGCCAGAAAGGCCTGGGAAGACACATAAAATAGAAGTCAGCTTCAAACCCTTGACTTTTGGTCGGTCTCTCACAGCCAAGCCTCCTTGCAACTGAGATGTCACCACTGGGCAAGGGAAAGGGAAGATTAAGAGAAGGAGTGGCTAGGCATTCTGCCTCGCACCTGTAATCCCAGTATTACAGGTTGGATTTTTGGGAGGCCAAGAGAGAAGGATCACGAGTTCAAGACCAGTCTGGGCAACATAGAGAAACCTCATGTCTGTGAAAATTAGCTGTGCATGGTGGTGCATGCCTGTAGTCCCAGCTACTTGGGAGGCTGAGGTGGGAGGATTGCTTGAGCCCCTGAAGTTGAGGCTACAGTGAGCCGAGATCACGCCACTACACTCCAGCCTGGGTGATGGAGCAAGACCCTGTCTCAGAAAGAAAGAAAGAATAGGAAAGAGAGAGAGAAGGAAGGAAGGAAGGAAGGAAGGAAGGAAGGAAGGAAGGAAGGAA